CTAAGAATGTTTTAATTACGATTTATAACAAGTCCATCTTCATCATGGTAAGTTTTCATGCCTTTTTTTTTTTTTAAATGGGAAAAAACATTATGAGCCAAAGATTCTCAGGGCTTAAAAAAAGGGTCATTTTTCTGAATCGCTTTTCTTACTAAAAACTACCTTATGTACTAAAATACATATCAAATGAGTGGCTTTTAAATGGTGATAAGAGGGACTTCCCTGGTGGCGCAGTGGTTAGGAATCCTCCTGCCAACGCAGGGAACACGGGCTCGAGCCCTGGTCCAGGAAGATCCCACACACCGCGAAGCAATTAAGCCCATGCACCACAACTACTGAAGCCCGCACACCTATAGCCCGTGCTCTGCAACAAGAGAAGCCACCACAATGAGAAGCCTGCGCACCGCAACTAGAGAGAGCCTGCGTGCAGCAACAAAGACCCAACGCAGCCAAAGATAAATAAATAAAATAAATTTATTATAAACTATAATTTTAAAAATCTGTATTTTTTGAAATAAAAATTATTAAAGTAAAAAAAAGAACTCAAGACTCAGTCAGCTCATAACAGGTTTTTAAGAGTTTGAAACTAAACCTCACCAAACAGAAAATAAATTGTAGGGAAGACTGGTGAAATTCTAATTTCAGAAGGTTGGTTTGCTAGGTTTTAATCAAATAAGTCAACTGCTTGAGTAAGTTAACTGTTTCCTAAGCCTATATTTTATTGACTTCATGATTAATTTTGAGAAGAAAATTAAAGGAATGTCATTCTGTCGGTGTAACATGTAAAGCTGAAATAAATTTGTTTTTGACCAAGCCACAACTACAGATTTCATTTATTTGTTCGCAAAATACTCCGGTTCTTTATGACAGATAGATTAAGGAGGATCTCTTATTTTAGGTGGCTTTCAACTTATGTGACTTTAAGCTTTAATTGCTCTGTCACTTTTAGAGACTAAAAGAGGTTTTGCCCAGGAAAAGAGAGAGAAAAAAAAAATCCTATAATTCTAGCTAAACACGTAACTGCCAAGATTCAGTGTAACTCATACATGTGCAAAATATCACTATATATAAGACCATTCATTACAGCACTGTTTGTATAGCAAAATATGGGGAACAATCTAATAGTTATCAATATGCAATTAGTTAAATTAAGGCCTAACCACAAGGTTCCACAAAACAGCTCTTTAGAAAACTAGTCACCTCGAAGACATAGGTGGGGGCAAGGGGAGGAATCAGGTACAGCATTTACAAAATATGGGGAACAATCTAATAGTTATTAATATGCAATTAGTTAAATTAAGGCCTAACCACAAGGTTCCACAAAACAGCTCTTTAGAAAACTAGTCACCTCGAAGACATAGGTGGGGGCAAGGGGAGGAATCAAGTACAGCATTTACTTGGGGAGGAGGGCAATAGGCCTAACATATATGCACTAAGTCTCTCTGGTCTTTTGGGAAGAATATACAATAAAAGTTGTGGCTGTCTGGGGAGGGAAACTGGAATGCTGAAGGACAGATGAGTCTTAATTTTCCTCTATGTACCCTTTAGAACCTTTCAAAGGTGCTCTACGTATTTCCCAGTCAACAAAATAAAAGATTGATTTGTTTTGTTTTTAATGAATTTATGGGTAGAATTAGAAACTTTTAGCTCAGGCACAGATTCAGATAGAATCTACTGAGCAGTAACAATGTCAAATTATATAGAATAACTCTCCTGAAACTTTCTTTCAAAGAGACTGAAGCTCATTCATTCATTCAATCAGTATTTCAGGGCCGAGACATTAGATTTGCAGATTATGTGTTCTAGGCATTTCAGCAATGCCCAAGTCATCCAAGAATTCCTGCTTTCATGGAGCTTTAGTGGGAGTAGAGATAAACAGTAAATAATACAACTTTGAGTAATGATATGTGCTATACAGAAGAGACGAAATAGGGGCTAAAGAGCAACCATGGGGGAGGAGGGAGGACTGTGTTTTAGGACAGTTAAGGTAATCCTCTCTGAGAATATGACATGTGAGCCAAGAACTGAACATTATGACAAAGCAAGCAACGCAATAAACAGGAGGAAAGCCCTGTGACTGGAACACGCGTAGCCTCTTATTGTTCAGGGTACAGCAGAGCAACAGTGTGGCTGCAATGGAGTGACCCAAGGGGAGAAGTGTGGGAGATGATCTCAGAGGTAGGCAGATCCCAGATGGATGGAGGGCCTTGTAGCTAGGAGGGAAAAAAAGTCAAGATTTTAAGTGTGCTGCAGAACCTCTGTGTTCTGAGCAGGGAAGTAACAAGATCTATGTTTTTAAAAGTAACACTAGCTGCTGTTTAAAAGGAGATCAATACAGTAGGCCAGGTAACAAATGATGGAACTGAACAGTGGTTTCAGAGAGATAGGGAAATGTGTCTGATTCAGGATATAATTTGAAAAATAGAGCCCACAGAATTTGCTACTGGATTAGAAATGGGAATCTGAGTGGGACAGCAACTGGGTGAATAGTAATTCAAAAAATCATCTTTATGTGTATGGTTACAGTTGTTAAGGTACTTTGACATATATTATGTCATTTCATAATAACAAGAGGCAGGGGAAGGTCACACTGGGTCAAGATCCAAGTTCTGCCTCCTGCCAGTTTTAAGACCCTAGGAAAGTCCTTTGAATGGGTTTCTAGCCTATATAATGTATTGTCTACTTCACAAGACTTCTGCAGGTACCAAGTGGTTGAAGAATTTTGAAAATGTAAATAATGCCCATTTTGAGGTAGAAAGCATCACACTGTCCAATGAGAGATGGTACATTCCCATCCTTCAGGACAGTAGTGCTACCCCATTATATTCCACTGCCACCATTATATTCCACACAGAACCTTGTATTGTAGTTGACAAAGAGACAAGCTTCTTTTTTTAAATTCTGATATAAAAAACAAACATTTTCACAGATTATGAAAAAGCCTACATAATATAAGCATGGGCACTAGAAAAAAAATAGTATAATCTTTTAATCCTTCCTAGGGATTGGAGGAAACAGTTCTTTTTGCTATAAATGGCATTAAAGTAAAACCACCGAACTCTTACAAGATAATACCCAAACCAAGGGACCTTTCATTAGAGAGATGTTATCAACAAGACTTTAATTTAAGAGTATATATGACTTATCACTGTCTTGTTTTAAATAGCAAAATGCAAAAGCCTGGTGTAAACTAAATTATTGTATGCCAAATGAATTGAATTATGAGGACTTCAACTTATTGCTTCAAGTCATATCTATAAGTTTATATACAAGGTCCCACAGAATTTATTTTTCCATCTAAGACTTTCATATTATTGCAGAATATCTCCAGCATTAAGCAAAAATGAAAAAAATACGTAAAGTCTTTCATTCATTATGTATTTTGGAGAATTATCTTGAATGTCAATGTGTACTAGGTACTTAGTCGATAACCTGAATAACAGTAAATAAAAATCCAAGGATATCTGATGTACACAGCTCTATCTTCCACCCCTCATTTTCAAGTGGGGCCTCAATAAACATGACCACTGGGGCCATGTGATTGTATTACAACCACATTGGTAAGTACCCTCCAACACACAGCCATTAAACTGCCTTGGACGGAGTCGAAGACAAATCTTTAACACAACAAATGAAGATTTTGTTTTACACAACACTATGAAGGTTCACATCATTAGACTCCAGCGCACAATGACAATCTGTTCTACTTCTCTACTTGCTAAAACTTGCTACTTTACAAAACTCGTCTTATTTCTCTAAATTAAGCACCTTTAGGTCAGAGACACCCCCATCTCAGATATATTTCATTGCAATCGCACTACACAATACACCATCCTTCAATCACTTAGCATGCATCTCCCCCCAAACTTAAAGGACAAACTAGATTAAATACACGTTCAGAGTTACAGCAAACAAAATGATGCTGCAATTTAGACACTTTAACTCGCATACTGAGCAACACAGAGGTTCAACTAATTTCCTTCACTAAAATTGACAAAAAAAACCTAAAGGTTTTGTCTTCGTGGACTGCAAGAAACATTTCACGTCTGAGGACTTGATATTTATGTAAAGAGTTTACAAAACCAAGATGAATTTTTCACGGTTCCATTGATACTTGTCAAAGAACATATTCATGAAGAGCTGAAAAACGGTATTGATAATTTAAAGCGCACAAAATCGAAAGGCAAAAGGTTTCACAAGGTCCCCCGTACCTGTGTACTGCACCCCCTCCCCCAATCCCCGCTCGGTCTCGTGTTAGAACTATTTCCTCTAAACAGAAACAGTCCTAAAAGAGTTTGCCAACTAGAGTAAACTCACTTCGCGAAGATAACGAGCGGAAACGCATTTAAAGAGGAGATCACGGAAGCGAGGGTGGCGGGGCGCGGAGCCCCCACGTCCCCCGAACCCCGGCAGCCAGGAGCGAGCATGTGCCGGCGGCTGCAGGATGCGCGGCCCTCCCAGAGCCGCCTCCCGTGGCACAGGGCCCCGCCCGGCCTCACCCTCCCGGTTCATTCATTCTGAACCTGCGGCTGCCGCACCCCTGCGCTCCCGCCCGGGCCGAGACACGGATCCGAGGCCGAGGGCCCGTGTCGGGCCACAACCCCCGCCTGGAGTCCGGGCCCCGCCGCGATTCCCGCGCGCCCGCGGCCTCCGCTCGGGGGTGGTCTGAGAGGCCGCGGAGGCCCGCTCCCAAGACCAAAGCCCCGCAAGCCCGCGGCCCCACCCTCCGCCAGGGCGCGGGCCAGGCCTTCCCCGCTCGCGGGCCGACCGCCTGGGAGCCCCCGATCCCCGCTGCCGGGCTGCCCCACTGCGGCCGGAAGTCTCCCCGGCGCCCCCTCCCCAGCGCCCGACTTCCCTCGCCGCCGCGGCCAGACCCTCTCCGCGCTGCCTCGGGCCTCCCAGCGCGGGCCGCGGGCCGGAGGAAGCGACGGACCGCTCCGCCCGGTCCGCCGAGAGGGCAAGAGCAGAGCGGGTAGCCGGAAGCGGGCCCGAGCGGTTACCTTGATAATCCTGCGGGGCAGCCCGGCCATCTTGTCAGATCCCGAGTTCGGCCTCTGGTCTCGTCTCCGGCTCCGCTCGCCTCACGCACGAGTGGAAGTCCCGGGCTCTACTTCCGGGGAACGTTGCCGCGCCCGCCGCTGCCGCGCCGAGGCCCCCCGGGAAATGTAGTCCCTGCTCGGGCGCGGGCGGGCTTCTCTCGGACCTGGCCCCTCCCCCGCGCTCCCCGCCCCAGCCGTGGCCTGGGGGTGGCGGAAGTGACGCGCCGCGGCGGGGCAGAGATTTTGGAGAGGCAATGCGGAGCGGCGCGGAGCCCCACAGAGCCCCGTCGCTAGTGGCCGGTCCTGCTGCGAGCTGGTGGGACTGAGTGGTCTGCGACCAGCAGGCCTCTTATTCGCGGCCACGCCCGCGCCAATGGGCGACGTAACAGAGGCCCGGCCGCAGAGGTAGCCCATTCATTCGTTCGTTCGTTCATTCAACGCTACTGCAGGGTGCGCGGTCGGGGCTGGCGCTGGCCGAACGACTGAGGTCAAGTTGATCCGCGAGCTCCTTCCTCACAAGTAGGGGAAGACCGAAAGTCAGTAGCAAAGCTCCCAACTGTGGGTCTCGAAAGTTATCTAGGAAAAGCCTAGCCAGAATTTTGATGTTTAAATTTCGCATAAATCGGGTGTTTTTGACACACCCCTTAGACCAGGAAAAGCTAAAAGGGTTTGGAGAGAGTTGGGGGGCGGGGAAGAAGAATGGCCTCTGAACGCCTGGCCCTAGTGGTTGACTCGCGGATTGGAGAGCTGGAGGAATGACCCAGGAGAGGATTAGAGATCCCAGCGTAATCCCTAAAAGAGGGATTACCTTTAGAGTGCGGGGCCCTAAAGGAGGATTAGAGTGAGGGTGCCCGGAAATGGGATTGTTGGGGAAGGCATTTCCTAACATCCTGATGATTGATTGCTTGCTCCGTAATGGGCTTTTTGCGAGAATTATTTTACTTTATCGTCATAGCAATCTTAAAGCGCTTCCTCCACTTTACAAATGAGGCTCGGAGACATTCACTCTTTCCAAGGTTATGAGGGAAATGGAGCTGTTTTGTTCCCACGCAGGTCTGCCAAAACGTGGACCCCTTAACTCCTTAGCCACGGTGTTTCCTAGCACGGTAGCACAGACAGTAGATGGTGAATAAAGATGTGCCAGATGCTATGTTAGTGGATGAGAATACAAAGAGGCTGACCCTAGGGAATTCCCTGGCGGTCAAGTGGTTAGGTCTCGGGGCTTTCATTGCTGCGGCCGGGTCCAATCGCTGGTCGGGGCATTAAGATCCCGCAATCCGCGCCAGGTGGCCAAAACTCAAAACAAAAAAGAGGCTGACCCTGCCTTCCAGGAACTTAGAGTCCATCGGAGAAGAGAGACTAGTGAACAATAATTACAATCCAACGTGTTAAGGGCCATAATAGAGATTCCTCCAAGGTGCTATTTGAGCACAAGAGAGGCATTAATTGCTTGAGAAGTCAGAGAAGGCTTCTCAAATGAGAAGTGGCATCCTAAAGGATGAGTAAGAATCTAACTGACCTGGTTGGGGGAGCATGCCAGGCCTAGAAAAAAGACTGTGAAATGGCACTGAGCTATAAGAAAAAAAAAAAGTGCATTAAAGAAATGGAGAATATGAATGCAAGAAACCTAGTAAAAGTAATAAGAGAAAACATTATCATTAGCATGATGCTAAATAATTACATGGATTATCTCATTTAATGATAAAGTATATAAGGTAGGCTTTCTTATTACTGTTGCTTTTTAGATGAGAAATCAAGACTCAGAGGCAATAATGAGAACTTCAAATAACCAGAAGTCTGAAATGAGTGGTTCTTCTGTATTTAGAAGAATTTGGGAAAGTAAATGACATTGGAGAAAGATACTTCCAGAATATTTTAGAGAGGGTCTGGAACCCGCCCTGATAGGAAGAAAGGCAGAGGGAATATGGGGTTAGAAGGGTACTAGTCCAGTTAGCTCTTGAATAACAATTCAGCTCAAATTTTGTGCTTAAAAGAACAATAATCATTTGTTTAGCTCTTGAATCTGCAATTTAGGCAGGGCTTGGCAGGAAAGACACATCTCTGCTCCATGCTGTGTCAGCCTGGGCAGCTTGACTGGGACCAGAACCACTTCTAGGATGGCTCACATAGCAGGCAAGTTGGTACAGACTGTTAGTTCCTCTCCGAGTGGGCCTCTCCCTGGAGCTACTTGGGCTTCCTCACTGCATGGTGGCTGGGTTCCAAGAACGAGTGTTCTAGCAGGCAAAAGTGGAAGCTGTCACCTTTTTCGACCCAACCTTGGAAGTCACGTAGCATCACTCCCACCATAATCTATTGGTTGACTCATCACAAAAGCCCACCCAGTTTGAAAAGTAGGGGACATGGACCCCCTCTCTTGAAAGAAGAGTCCAAGATTCTGGAAACTAGCTGGGTATGTGTGATACAAGATACAGTTGTGACCAACTTCGAAAAACACAAACTGCCACAGGTATATTTATCACAGTATGCTTACAAGCCACCATGCTTAAAGTCACCTGCAATGCTGGTTAAAATAAGCATTCCTGGAGCCCTTCCCAGAGATTCTAATTTTCTAGTTCATTGCTGAGGCCTGGGACTCTGCATGTAAACATCACGGGTAATTTTGATAGATCCTAAAATTTGAGAACAAAAGATTTTGAATAAACAACAAAAATTGTTGCCATGTGCCTTCTTTTGGCTATTCTCTATTGGAATAGATAGTGAGTATCCTGCAGATTAAGAGTGAGGGCCCCGAAGCCCTGCCTAGATTTGAAAACTTAGAATTTGCTTAACTTGTCTGACCTTCGTTTTTTTCACCTATAAAATGTACTTCATTGTTCTTGTTGTGAAGTTTCAATATATATTAAGTACTTAGAGGGGGTATTATTTTTGTAATCTTGAAAAGAACCAGGTATAGTTTTCTTTAGGAAACCAGATTTTTAAAATTTGACAGTATAACCTTGTTTGGCAGAGATTCATTTGATGGCATGAAATTCTCTTAGATAAATACATAATTTTTAATGTCCTTTCCCATTCTTTTCCCCCTTGAGAACAACTCACACTATACGCATCTGGAAAATAAAATCCGAACTTCTGATTCATGTAAGTCCTGTAGAACAGGATATATTCTAGAAGGATGTGTTGCCACACGGCTGAGATGCTGGGTTTATTCTCAGGTTAGAAAGTTGGTTAAGAATCCTACTTACTATACCCATAAAATATGGTTAAAATAAAGATATCCACAAAACTAATTCCTTCAAGGCAGGGATGTTAGACAGCTGAAGAATAGAGGTAAAACAGACTTTTTACTTTATACTTTTGGATGTTGAGCTGTATTAATGTGTTACCTATTCAAAACATAAAATAATCCAATTCACTAATTTCAAAAGTCTAATCTAAAAGGTGTTCAATGCTCTTTACATGCTGATCAAGAATGATATCATACAACTAAAGGGGAAAAAAAGAAAAAATAATTTAAAAAAAGAAAAAGAAAAAAAAGAATTATATCATACACTCAAAATTCAAAAGATTCTGGTCCGTGGTATGGAATAAATAAGAGTGACCAAATAGCTTCACTAAACTGAACAGTGCTAGGCAGAACTCTTAGCTAGTTAATCTTTTTTTTTTTTTTTTTTTTTTTGCGGTACGCGGGCCTCTCACTGTTGTGGCCTCTCCCGTTGCGGAGCACAGGCTCCGGAGGCACAGGCTCAGTGGCCATGGCTCACGGGCCCAGCCGCTCCGCGGCATGTGGGATCTTCCCAGAGCGAGGCACGAACCCGTGTCCCCTGCATCAGACTCTCAACCACTGCGCCACCAGGGAAGCCCCCTGGCTAATCTTTTTTTGGCTCTTCATCAGGCCTCATTCTTGGCCATGATTTTTTTTCCAGGCTCTGCTTCTTTCAGGACTCAAACTCCAAGTGCCTTTGCATTATAAGAAAGAGGGCCCAAGAACACTGTGTTGAAGAAATTAGAGGAATCCTGATCTATGCAAATCTTACTCCCCAGAATAATATTTAGTGCCTCCTGTTCCTTCCCCACCCCCTACCCACAAATATTTCAGTTTCACTACTTTGGTCCTATAATAGCAGATGTATAAGTACTGTTTACCCTGCAGGTAGTGTCTTAAGACATTTATACCTGAGCTCCTCAGAGCCATGGATCTCTTCCATCTTGGGCACCCCTGGATCCCTGGGGCCTAGCTCAAGGCCTACAACATGAGAGCTCTCAAAAAGTACTGGTCAAGGGAATGAGTGCATGAGTGCAGGATGAAGATAAACACCTGTTTGAGAATGGTTGCCTTAAATTCATGATCCATAAGTGAAACACAGGATGTTTATGTTCATCCCTAAACTTTTCAACTTGACTTCCTGGAAGACAACAGAGCTTTTTTCACAAACTCTCTCATACTTTGCAGAGACAAAATAGAATAGTTTGGAAAATGATAGATCAGTCACCTTTAATAGAGGTCCTGTTTCCATTATGAGCAATAGTCTTCATGGAGATGTATTTGTCTGCAATACCCATATTGTTTCTTGCAGCATAGGAAAACTTCCGTGGGCTATTAAGCAGAAGTATCTGTGAGAAGAGGGTTCCTGAACACTGACTCGAAGTGGGTGGGGAGGATGAAAATGCTGCACACTGATTTTTAAAAAGAAAAAAAAACTGAAAAACACCTGCTGCCTCATATTCATGACTTCAACATAAATAGCTGAGTACTTACAAACGGTTAACCAACACAATGCCAGCCCATGAGAAGGATCTGAGCGGGGTCATCCAGGGTCATAGGAGCACTGTCTCAAAGTGGAAGGACTCTGGAAAGAAGACACCCAAGAGAACTGGAGTAATAAGGCTGACCTTTGTTTAGCGCTTCATGCTGTACAAAGCATTTTTGAATGTTATCTCATCCACAGAGAGCTTTAAGTATATGCACCACTGGAGGCATTCTGCAAAGCCCATCACTGATTCTGCGATGTTTCTATAAAGGTAGAGGAAGGGGGGTATTCCTCTCTTTGTGCCAGTTCCCAGTGGAAACAGGATTCCAGAGGATGGTGACTCAAGGCTTGGCCAGAAGCCTGGATGGA